TAGGGATGCCTGCACTTGATGACCAATTTCACATGTATTTTGTGTACTTTAAAAATACAAAATACTGTATTTGTATTTAAATACATTTTTTTTACACAGTATTTTGTATTTGTATTTAAATACATTTTTCCACTCAGTATTTTGTATTTTTATTTTAAATATATTTCTATGTATTTATGCCCATCTCTGTACAAAGTCTGCAACAAATCTGTATAATAAGTCATTAGTGAATGCCAGAGAGCCACGAGTGAACATGAGAAATTAAAAGAAAATGTGTAAGGAAAATTAAATGTAAATGACAAGTGGTTATTTTAGATTTCTTGTACACCTGTCTTAAAATGTAAGGGATAGGATACTGGAGCTTGCTTGGGGTGGTGGAGTGGCTCACGGCGGGTGCCAGAAAATTTCCCTTATTTTCAAATACAAAACTTGACAGGTATGGATTACACAGTAGATTAAATATCATAACATTAAAACAAATAGTTTTCTAAGTGACGGCTACTATTATAAAACAGGTATCCATCCATCACTGTAACTGCTTAACCCCAACTGGGGACACAAGGGGGAGCAGAGCCTATCCTGGTAACAATGGGTACAGTCGCCAACACACCACAGGGCGTGCACACTTAAGCAAGCAACATATGATGGGAATTACAGTATCCCTGAACAAGATTCTTGTCTACACACCTTATTTAGTACTGTTTTTTGGGGCTGCAGCAGAGTGATTCTTGCCTAGAAACTATATTTTGTGAGTCTTTATGTGCCGGCAGAGTGATTCTTGGCTATAATCCATATTTAGTGATTCTTGTCCCATATTGTAAAAAGGCCTATAGTTCCAGTCACCAATGCACTTATGGTTCCCCCTGCTGGTTTAACCAGAGTTTACAGTTACTGTGAGCTGCCAACAGGAGGCAGAGTGGTAGAGAGGGTCTTTAATATTAGGGGCATCCCAATATGCTTGATGGTAAATAAACAAACAAACACATACACACACACAGGTTTGTAATTATATCTTTATGGGGACTCTCCATTCACTTCTATTGGGAAAACTCTAATCACATGATGTCCTTAACCCTTACCCAGCCCAAACCTTTTCCATAAGTAACCAAACAAAATACAAGACTTTTGGCATTTTTACTTTTTTGATT